GATCTCTTGCTCATCCTCGAGACTTCTACGCTATGCTACACGGGTTTGAACCCGGCCAAGGCGAGACAACGACAAACCCATCCATGGACATTGACGAGAAGAGCACTGCCTTCTCCCAGGCTCAGATAACAGCGCCTGTGAGCACCAAACTTCTCGCCGAGACCTACACGCTTAGGCTAACCGATTTTCCACGTCTAGAGGAGAGAGGGAAGGAGGCAAACGATTGACACCTCGATGATGACGACCATCATCCCGGAGCCCACGCCGCCTGCCGACGAACCTCAGCGCCGATTTTTCTGGCTGCCGCGTTCGGCCACACCTTCCCTGCGAAGTCCCACGTTCCGCCGGCGAGTGACGAGCCCGTACGACGACGACGACTACGCGTACTCGGAGAGCAACCCGTTCGGGGAAGACTTCAGGGAGCAGAACGAGCAGGCCGAGAGGGACTGGGACTACGACAACGATGAAGACGACCACGACCACGACCACGACCACGGCGAGAACCCGTTCGAGGACTGCGAGTACGAGCTGCCGCCGGCGGCGGCGAAGAGGGAGGGGACGTGGACCAAGTTCAAGAAGGCGATGAGTCCCAAACGCGCCATCAGCAAGTGGAAGTATCGCAAAGTCAAGCACAACGGGCTCCAACCGGACGACCCGGACCACGGAGATCGTGGCGACCTCCATGGCCAAGTCTCTTGAACCGAACCACTCGGAGGGCGGAGACTTTTAGCACCACTCGGCACGAAGCCGACGGCTTCTACCAAAGCGTGGAGAGGAGAGCGAGCTTGGGTACTCTGGTCTCGACGAAAAGAAGAAGAAGAAGAAGAAGAAGAAGAAGAAAAAGGGGGAAAAACAAAAGGCACGATATCAAATCTTTTCCTTTGCAACAGAACAGTTGTCGGTTGGTTTTCCTTTTTGCTTGATTCCCCAAGATGAGGCATCTGAAAATCCTTTGTATCGTTCCAGACCATTAGGCTTGCCATGAAAATATCGGAAGACCAGGTGTCTCTGATGCGCAAATCCAGATATCAATTATTTCCAACTTGAATCAGTCAAGTTCTAAAGTCTAGCACTCTCATATGCAGCGTCTCTCTTGTGGCACTACGAAAGGTTCAGCAAGGCGAACGAACCGCGTTGGTCAGACCAAAGCTGCTGTATTCGTACCCTCTGTCAGGGTACCGAGATGCATGACGTTGGAATGTTCCGTCCTTACAGGATGGCTATAAACATCGTATGGATAAGGACAGCCAGTGTGTGTGAGTACCTATGTCGTAACTCGAGGGACATAACGGTTCAAGGGGGGTTAGCACGGGGTTCACCAGACATGACAGCGTGGTCTTCGTGGGTTTCATTCACCTGTGGGGGGAAGCACACAAAATGCCTGGAAGTTCGACGCGCAGAACTAACCAATTCCTCAGATCTCAATTCACAGGTTGGTATCTTCATTCGACGTTTCGGCTCCGTCTGCACTTTGGAAGGTATTGAAGGTAATGATCTGAATCTTGGTGACTTCCAACTTGGCATCGTTTGATATACTGATGTACTCGGACTTGTACCAATATCGATTGCAAACGTGAAACGAAGAAGTTGCCATGTGTCTTTCAGTGATCTTAGACGCATGCAAAGTCGCAAGATACGTTGCCCTGAATGGAGATGGCTCCGAATCTTGGAGACTTTCGCCTTCCTGTCTGGATTGCGGACGGAAATAGTGTACAAAAAGTGCCCTTCGGTCGGCGACTAAATGGGGAATGGATAAACTTAGATCAATCATTTATCAATAATTTCTCATCTTGGAAGACAGATCTTGCCAGCAAGCGGACTGCATTCTGTTGCTTCGCTTGGTAGGCATTCCAGGTCTGTTCTCTCGGTGGTTGTGGCACAGCACATGCAAGCAGGTGGACGGACGGCCCTGGAAGCTAACAGCGAATCATCCCGCGGATGCAGAGAGAACTATTCCCAGCATTTATGGGCCGAATAACCCAGGGTAAGATGTTGGAAATCCCTGCCTGTGGTCGCAGCCCAGCGCGAACACAGTCAATCAAAGAGTAGAGAGGGATGTACTCCGTAAGCTGCCAGACTGCAGCTGGTTGGGCCAATGACGTCTTGGAACCAGGACAGGATGGTGGCATTGTGGAGTGTTCTCCCCCCTCGAAATAGCAGCTTCCTTTAGGGTCGGGGCTATTTCTTGCTATTGGGTTGCCTTTTTGTTTTTCCTTCCCCCTTGTCCCTCTCGTCCGGAGCCGAATACTACCCCCCCCCCCCCCCCCCTCAACAGCGTGGATCGACAAATCAACCCAAGGGCAGTGCTGGGCTCGGGAGCTCAAGTGTCGCCGCCCCGGGGGAACCTGACGATAGTTGACTATAGATCAACAGTGATCGCCCGGGAGGGGCACCGGCAAGGATATCCTGAGTTGTGGATGTTGATCCAGCCGAGTCGCTGCAGCATATAACGACGACTTCCGATTAGTCCGTCTTCTTCCCCGCGGGCGATTCCATGTCGCACGATACGTGTTCAATGACGATACAATATAATATGTATTGCTGCAGCCACGTCCCCTTGCCTCGCCGGCAACCGAGGCGGCCTACAGCTGTGGCGGGCTTTCCGCGCAATCCCTGGGCACCCCGGGGAGCCTGTCGGTCGTGAAGGGAAAGGAAACAAAAAGCATCCCGCGATGTCTCTGTTGTCCCTGCTTCCAAACTCGCCGCGCCACGGCACGTTGGTCTAGAGGGGCCACATCCGATGAGGACATCCATCTCACATGGACTTTGTGACAAGTCCGGCTGAGGTCAAAATAGTACCACGCCATCGCCCGGGCCGAGCGCTCTTGTTCACAGACAAAGGGCTATTATCTATTTAGGGTTCTGCCGACCGATGTCACGTCACTTGGCCTCCACACTGGCAGAAAAGTCTCGGCCAAGCGCCGGGACGCAAGGCGGGAGGAAGCCTTTCCGAAAGAGGTCGCCCCTCTCTCTCTAGGTACCTCCCTTGCCCGTGCCGTCATTTTCCACCAGCTCTCTGTCCGACTCTCTCTCTCTCTTCTCCAGATCTTGGGTTCCCATCTTTGCTTTTTTCTCTCGCTCACCCCTCGCGCGTTTGGCGAGACAAGACAAGATCCACACTGGGGGAGGGGACATCAGCTGGAGTCCGAGCGCGCTGAAGGGCGAGCAGCATCGAACCCAGTCCTACCTCGCGGCCATCGGGTTTTGACATCCGGCTTGAATGGATATTGCTTGGCCGTGTTCGATCGGCAGTGGTCTGATGTGTGCAGTCTCCCAACGCCCAAGCCTGCCATGCACCATCCCGCAGCACAGCGAAATCAGCGTTCCAGGCACCTCAGCCACGACTTCGAGAAGGAACTTGGCGTGGATCTTCATGCCGTCCCACCTTCGGCGCCTCGTGTCGGCATCTTCCTCAAAGGCCACAACCTCCTGTTTCCCCGGGGGGGAAGAGGAGGACCAGGATGGGAAATCGATACGTAGCTTTAGCATTCTCCCAACATCATGTCTTCGTCGGCCAGGCACGAGGGGCGAAGTCAAGTTTTAGTTCCCGCAATAGCACCTATTCCAGCGAGACATGGATAGACTCGGATCCTTTTCGGCTGGCAGACTCTCGGCCACTGAGCCCATTTCGATCGTCCGCGCGTATCTGAGATTTCCCGCTCACACTATAGCGGCAATTTTGCTGGAACCACTAGATAGATGGGCGATAAGAGGTGGCCAAAGTTGTCTCACGACCTCAATAGGCTTCTCTTGTTCAGGTGTCTGCCTCTGATTCCAAAACAGATGGCCCATTATGGTGTCTCTGAGACTCTCTGGACACGAAGGGGAACGTTTCTGTCTCATGGAGACGTTAGAAACAAAACCGGTTATCTCGTGGCCTTTTCCACCCCTCCCATTTCTGGTTTCCTGTCTTGACATTCTGGGATTCTCCAAAACGAACGCTCATTATAGCTCGACCCCCCCCCCCCCCCCCGGCTGCCCCCGATAACGTATCCGCCCTCCTAGAGTAAGCCGCCAAGTGGGCATCGAGCGAGACACGGAACTGGAGGCTGCGCAGGCTCCACCGCCCGTCTCCCTCAACAGTCAGGCCCTCTAGGCTTGTGGTCGACGCTGAGCTGCTATCCTGCGTCCGTGATGCAGCCTGTTACTAAGATATCCTGCCCCGCGCGCCACGTTCCACAACCAAGGCTGTTGCTGAGGAGGAAAGAACTGATAGTGCCAGATCTTACGACCAATCCGAACGCGAGCCTTTCCGAACCCGTCGTCAACCACTATTTTGAGACGCGGTGGCCGGCTTGGCCGCCCCCACTGCGACGGCAGCCGCAGTCCGCCCCCCCCCCTCCTTCCCTCTCTCAACGCAGCCATGCGGCGTCGAATTCTCTCCTGCCTTGAAGGGCCGCCGCCCCTGCGCCACGTGACCGCATCGGAGAACTACCATGACTGTGAATGTCACTGTCGATGTTGCTAATCGACTCCTCCTCGGCGGGATTAGGCCTAACGTCCGTTGGGTTCTATTTTCGCTTCGTCGTGTTCGCTGCCGCAGGTCGTGGCGCGCGTAGCCTTCGAAATGCGACACATGTGACGGGCCCTTGAAGATGTTGTTCTTAAAGATCATGAAGAGGGGCAGTATATATCGGACCATGAAGGCCCTCCCTCAGCTCATGATGGCATGTTGGTTAGTCGCACAAGGAATCAAAACACACTGCCAAGTAGTTCTACTTCATCTATCCCATCCTCTTTGCTTTTTTTTTTCTTTCGCCCTTCTTAGTTCCTTTTTCCGTTTGTAGTCCATCTTCAAGATTATATTTCCTTTTGCACGTCTCTCATCGCCTCACTCTGCCATATCTCTAGCGTCGTCTTTTGTATACCTAAGGCCCGGTTTCTCCTTCTTTCAACATCTCCTCCCCTCGACCTCTTCCTGTGAGTAGAAGATGATGTGGGACGTCGTTACATCGTGACACTGATCCATGGTCTTAGGTTCTCTTATATCACTTACCAACATGTCCTTTACAACGTCTTCCTCCGTAACTCTTCCCGTGGGCGAAGATATCGAGCAAGACCACACAAGTTTGACAGGAGGCAACGAGCAGACCTCCGAATGCAACGTGACTGCTCCCGCGAGGGCCTTTCTCTTGAGTCACAAATCGTCTTCCCGCACTCTCGTGGCGCCCGAAAGCACCAACCGGGACCATGAGACGTCTTGGACAACGGCCAGTTCAACTGACGTTGGAGACGATGATAATGACGAGGACGGAGTCGTTGTCCCTTCCAAGAAGGGCACCCGCGCCTACCGCTACCTCCGCTGGAACTTTGGCTCCGTCTACAGGCGAATCTTCACACTCGCTTTTCTCGGCAACATGGCGGCACTCGTACTCGTCGTTGTTCGGTCCCTGCTCGGGGGCCCTTCGTCTCGCCTCACCCCGGGGACCTGCGCCACCGCCGTCTCGGCGAACATCCTCGCCGCCCTCTTCATCCGCAACGAGCACACCGTCAACGCCATGTTCAGGGTCTTCGTCCTCTTCCCCGCCGCTAGGACGCCGCTCGCCATCCGCCGCGCCTTGGCCAAGGTCTACTCGTACGGCGGCATCCACAGCGGCTGCGGTGTCGCTTCTTTCTTCTGGTTCGTGGCCTTCCTCGTCGTGATCACGGGCGACTTTGCAAACCCCAACGCTGTCCGCGCCTACATCCTTTTCGACAGCTATCTCATCTGCGCCCTGCTCGCCGCCATCATCGGCTTCGCCCACCCGCGGGCCCGCGTCCTGCTGCACAACTGGTTCGAGGGCACCCACCGCTTCCTCGGCTGGTCCGTCATCCTCCTCTTCTGGGCCCTCGTCATGATGCTCGCCGAGGACAGCAGCAGCAACAGCACCGCCGGGGTCCCGTACGCCGCCGCCCTCGTTGCGACCCCGTCCTTCTGGATGCTCATCGCCATCACCCTCCTTGTCGCCTACCCCTGGACGCGCCTCCGCCTGCGCGACGTCGAGGCCGAGGCCATGTCGGACCACGTTGTCAAGCTCAACTTCGACTACGCCAACGTCCACTACGGCCAGGCCGTCCGCCTCACCGACGCGCCCCTTCGCGAGACGCACGCCTTCGCCGTGATTCCCAATCCCGCAGCCCCCCGGACCGCCGACGACGCCGAGAAGGCCCAGCAAGGGCTCTCGAACGTTGGGAAAAGGGGGTTCTCGGTGCTCGTGTCCAACGCCGGTGACTGGACCGATAAGATCATCAGGAACCCGCCCAAGAAGATGTGGACGCGCGGCGTGCCGCAGTACGGCGTCCTCCGCGTGGCCGGCATGTTCGAGCCGTGCATCGTCGTCGCCACGGGCTCCGGCATCGGCCCCTGCCTGAGCCTCTTCGTTCAGAAGCCAGACCACCCGGTGCGCATCGTCTGGTCGACGCAGCGGCCCGCCGAGACGTACGGCCAGGCCGTCATCGACACCCTATACCGGGCCGACCCTGACGCCGTCATCATCGACACTAAGAAGACGGGTCGCCCCGACCTAGTCGCCATCACCTACCGCATCTGGGAGGCCAGCCGACGCCGGGCCCTGGGGCTTGCGCAGGGCGAGGGGAGCGTCGCGACAGGGGCGGCGGTGGCGAGGAAGACGGGTCCCTGCGAGGCGGTGGTCATCATCTCCAACCAGAAGGTGACGAGGAAGGTCGTCTACGGCCTGGAGAGCAGGGGCATTCCCGCCTACGGGGCCATCTTCGACTCGTAAAGGCCCCCCCCCCCTACAGCACGGGCCGATTTTGTTTTCTTCTGGGAGTTTTGTAACTTTCTTGACTTTTTTTTTCTTTCTTTCTTTCTTTCTTCTCCTTTTTCCCACCTGACCGCGACTGGTCGTTCCCCATAGACGCATACACTGTAAAAAGAATTGCATAGCGGGCATTGGAGTGGCATGGCATGCGTTGTTTTGGCTAGGGTTATATAAAATTATCAGAATTACTCATAAAAACATACTATAATACATGTACGGATAGGTCTAGCTTGGCTTGGCTTTTTTCTTCTACGCTTCAGGTCGCTACTTCTGCGTTGTACCCCCCTTGGCTGAATTGTCGTAATAAATCCGTCTTCGACCGTGTCTTGTCGCGTTATTTTAGTGTTGCTTCAGGTTGTTTCTCTTCTACTCCTTGCATCGAAACCGCTTTGCTGTCTTGCTGAGTTTCCTGTGGAAAAAAATGTAGAGCGAATCCGTTTCGCTTCGTAAAGAAATATAGGATGGTAACTGTAGATCCCACTGTAACTCAATCAAACTGGTCGGTTAGCTCAGTTGGTTAGAGCGTGGTACTAATATTTCATCTGGAATGTTGTGTAATGCCAAGGCCGGGAGTTCAAGCCTCCCACTGATCAATTCTTTTGCTTTTATCTCGCGACGAGACTTTGTATCGTGTATGTACCCCCGCTTGTTTGTCTTCTGTTCTGATATGTCTCTCTGTGTCAGCCAACAACCTTGCAGAAAACGCCTTCTGTTTCTGCTTTTGTTTTGTCCTGTTGTTTGTTCTAGGTTGTTTCCCTTTTGATCTGGCAGAGAACCGATCTTCACTGACGGAAAGAGTGTGGGGAGGGAGCACAGCACACACCTTCTGTTGTACTATCCAATAGGATGTAAGCGAGTCCCTTTTCTAGGCTGGAACACGCAGCAAGGGAAAGGTACTGCTGGCCCACGGCCTGCCTGTACATGTAGTGTCGCTCTTGCCTGAATCACTCAATCGCACTGGCCCCCTACGTTGGCCCTTCCCCTCTGAGTCTGCCGGAGGAGAAGGAAAGGACGACGAATAAATCCGTTCTTGCTCTAGTCATACCCGCTGTCTCTCATCTCCATCTCATCCATCTTCAACACAACAACACGCAATACAATGAGGCTTTAACATACCAATTCATAATCGACTTGTCACGACATTGGTCATCCGGACTTGTCCTTTTGCCACCATTACAGATGCCCGACTAAGCCACCTTGAGAAGGCCTCCGTTGCATCCATCTCATTCTCAACTGAAGCTCCAGATTGCCTCCCGCCCACGATCCCGCCGAGAACACCATCGTCCTGACAAATGGGACGGATGACCCCCCGTCGAGGCGATGGATCTGGACTCGGAGCTCAATCCCGCTTCTTCGTTGCGGCCCGCCAACACGAAAATTTCATATATTACCATGCCCGCCACGAATTGAGTTGGGTGCAGGTGTGACCTCCCTTCTCCAACAAGCCTCCACGACAATAGCTTGGCTTCACCAATCGACACTGTTGCCGACTTTTTGTCAACCTTGGTCTCGGGCGGGGCAACGCCGCACCGTCCCATCGCAGCGAGCCGAAATGAGCCATGTTCGGCGTTAACTCTCTCAGATTAACCGGGTTTCGCCTGCCATTTGTCGCCCCCCTCCATCAGACATCTTGACACGCCAAAAGACGATTAACAGACGCACGAACCCGTACCATCACCTCTTGGCAGAGAACATCCTTACCCGTCCTCCAAATTCATCTATCTTGAAAAGAAGTGGCGGGAGCTCTGGATCGTTCTCGACACGGCCTGTCCATTAGCCCAGGCACTGCTCGCTGTCTTCTCCAAATACCCGTGTGCATGTAAGGGACGTGGAAAGCAAACGTTTGCTTCTGAAGCATTTATCTCGTGCAATCTATAAGAAGCCTAGGCGGTGGCGTTGTCTCGGTACACGGACAGGGGATCGACAAATAACATGCAGCATACACTCCGCAGAGAGGCAGACACATGGTCAATATGCCTCAAAGGTGGCATCCAGATGGTCTTCTACCCCTGACAAGAGGCCAAGATGTGCCCAGCTGACGAACCTGGACCTGGGCCAACGATACACGGCCTGAACCCCAGTTCGTTGGGAAAACCGGATCGAATTGCCGCCGCACCGCAACGAGGGAAGCGCCCTGCTGCCTCCGCATTCCCGTTCCTGGCGATGTGCTGCACGCCTGTTTTGACCTCACTTGGCTGCTCGAGGGTGAGTCGTGGGACATTGCATCGCAAACGTCTATCCCAAGCCGTCGAGAACGTTGACCGTTGACGACGTCGAGAAACGTCGTTCTCGACCCGCGCAAGTTTCTGATTCTTCCCTCGGCCTTTTTCTTGCTTATTTACTCCCTGGTTCGTATCAAGGGCAAACACTCGCGCATCTTCCGCCCGTCTCACCACGTTGTCATTCGCCCCTTCATCTGGTTGCTGATTTCTCCCGCTGCTTCTTGTAGATTGATGTGTCCGGGTCAACCCTGGTCATTAAGCTTGACCAACAATGGCAATCAGCACTGTTACATTCCGAAGCAGAGACGTCCGGCCCCCCACTTCCACCCATATTCTGTCATCCTTGCTAAACTTTGAGGACCTGGGACAAACATTTCCTCCTATCGGCGCTTTTGTGAATCATGCATCCGTTCCCAATCACATGGCTCATGGATGGTCGAGCCGGGCTGTGGAAGCCTGTAGTCATGTGCCAGCTGTGGCAAACAGATAAATTGCTATCTCAAGAGGGTAAGTGGAAGATGCCGGGATGCCGACTCGGGACAGCATCCGAGAAGGCTGTCAGGAGTTGCAGTTGGGCTCTTTAAATGACGGATAGTCCCTTCCAGTTCACTGAGGCTCGGAGCTGTGGTTCTGGATGCTAGACCTTTGTTGACATTGAAGTCCAGCACCATGAAGTACTTCAGCCGTATCGGCGCCCTGGCAGCAGCCCTCTTGGCAGCTACGCCATGTGAGTTCTCGCATCTATTGTCGAGGGTTTGACTGCTAATGCCGATGCCCAAGTGTTTAATGGAGTAGCCGCCCAGGCGAACACCCCGACTGTCTGGACCGAACCGGGAACCGGCATTGTCTTCAACACTTGGTCCGCCACTGATGCTCAGACTGCGGGAGGCATGACCTACGGTTTTGCCTTGCCCCAAGACGCCTTGACGACGGACGCCAACGAATACATCGGTTACCTGGTACGTAAGCTACGTCAACCTGCGTCGTCTTTGACTGACATCTAGCGTTCAGCAATGCTCTTCCAAGAACGGCCAGGGCACCGGCTGGTGTGGTCTCTCCCTTGGCGGCTCCATGACTAACCAACTTCTCCTCCTTGCTTGGCCCAACGCTGGAGAAGTCCTCACTTCCTTCCGTTGGGCAGCCTCATACGACATGCCCTCAGTCTACTCTGGCGATGCCAAGCTCACGCAGATCTCGTCAACCGTCAACGCGACGCATTACACCCTCATCTACCGCTGCCAGAACTGCTTCAAGTGGAACCACGAGGGCGTCACCGGCGGCGTGTCGACGACTTCCGGATTCTTCATCCTCGGCTGGGCGCAGGCATTCACCAACCCCACCAACCCCTCTTGCCCTGCCGACGTCTACCTTGTCCAGCACGAAAACCAAGGCATTCACGGCGCCGTCCCGGATGCCAGCATCGCAAACCCGTCCTACTCTGCCTGGGCTGCCCTCGCGACCAAGACCGTCACTGGCAACTGCGGAGGTGGTGGCGGTGCTACGACCACTTCCGCCCCGCCCTCGTCCACGACAACTCGGCCTCCCACGGGTCCCACTGGCGTTCCTGTCCCCTCCGGCACGTACGATTATATCGTGGTCGGTGCGGGTGCCGGCGGTATTCCTCTGGCCGACAAGCTGAGTGAGGCAGGCAAGAGCGTTCTGCTGATCGAGAAGGGCCCGCCGTCTTCCGGCCGCTGGGGCGGCACCATGAAGCCTACTTGGCTCGAGGGCACTAACCTGACCAGGTTCGATGTACCCGGTTTGTGCAACCAGATCTGGCGCGACTCGGCTGGCATCGCCTGCCAGGACACCGACCAAATGGCTGGGTGTGTTCTCGGTGGAGGCACCGCCATTAACGCTGCTCTCTGGTGGAAGGTGAGTCGGGCCAACCATGTATCGTGATTCCATATACTGATTCATCCCTAGCCGTATGCTCAGGATTGGGATTACAACTTCCCTAACGGATGGAAGTCGGGCGACGTCGCCGGTGCAACAAGCCGCGTCTTCTCCCGCATCCCCGGCACCACCACTCCCTCCCAGGACGGTAAGATCTACCTTACAGATGGCTTCAATGCCATCGCCAGCGGCCTGCGTACAGGAGGCTGGCAGGAGCTTGATCTTAACGCGAACCCCAACTCCAAGAACCGCACGTTTGGCAAGACGCCCTACATGTACTCTGGAGGTGAGCGCGGCGGCCCCATGGCCACGTATCTCGTCTCGGCGAACACACGTAGCAACTTCAAGCTGTGGACCAAGACGGCCGTCAAGCGTGTTGTCCGCCGCGGCGGCCACATCACTGGCATTGAGGTCGAGCCGTACCAGGAGGGCGGGTTCGTCGGCACAGTGAACGTAACCCCCGTCTCGGGCCGCGTGGTCCTGTCCGCCGGCACGTTTGGCAGCGCCAAAATCCTGCTGCGCAGCGGTATCGGCCCAACAGACCAGCTAGAGGTCGTCAAGGGCTCCGTCGACGGACCGACGATGATCGCCAACTCGTCGTGGATCAACCTTCCTGTCGGCTACAACCTGGAAGATCACACCAACGTGGGTTCCGCAGATAAAGTGGGTAGAGTTTGGGACGTAATGCTTACTCAATTGTAGACCGATTCCGTCGTCAGCCACCCGAGCACGCAGTCTTACGACTTCTACCAGGCGTACACCGACCCCAACGTCACCGACAAGAACGCCTACCTCCAGAAGCGCAGCGGCATCCTGGCGCAGTCCGCACCCAACATCGGACCTTTGTGAGTTGGAGCGGTTCGCGCCCTTACCCACGCCGTCGTTACTAACCCCCAAGCTAGGTTCTTCGAGGAGATCAAGGGCTCCGACGGTATCACCCGTCAACTGCAGTACACGGCCCGCATGGAGGGCAGCCTAGGCGTCCCCGATGGCCGTAAGTCAACCCTTACGCCCCCTATCCTCCTTGTTCAGAGCATACTCCCCTCTTTCTTGTCCCTTAACGACTAACATTTCTGCAGAGGCCATCACCATCAGCCAATACCTCGGCCGCGGCGCCACATCCCGTGGCAGGATGACCATCGGCGCCAACCTTGGCACTGTCGTCTCCACGGTTCCTTACCTACGCGATCAGAATGACGTCGAAGCCGTCATCAAGGGCCTCGAGAACCTGCAGACCTCACTTAAGAGCGTGCCAAACCTTGTCTGGAACTTCCCCCCGCCGGGCACCACGGTCCGCGACTACGTCAATAACATGATCGTTTCCTACTCGAACCGCCGCGCGAACCACTGGATCGGTGAGTCCTCCCGCTGCCTTCTCTCCTCGTGCTCCACTGCGGAACGAAACAAAAACCATGCACATTTTTCTTTACCTTCGGGTTGCTGGGTCACCGCATGACTACTCTTAAACTCTCACTAATGTGCTTGCTTGCGTGCCACAGGGACAAACAAGCTCGGCACCAAGGACGGCCGCAGTTCGGGCGGCGACTCTGTCGTCGACGTCAACACAAAGGTGTACGGCACCGACAACCTCTTCGTCGTTGACGCCAGCATCTTCCCAGGCATGGTCACAACCAACCCCTCGTCCTACATCGTCGTCGCCGCCGAACACGCTGCCGCCAAGATCCTCGCCCTCGCGACCTCTACAGCCCAACCCCAGTACGGGCAGTGCGGCGGGTCGACGTGGAACGGAAGCTTCCAGTGCGCTACTGGCCTGACGTGCACCGCCAAGGATGCCTATTACTCTCAGGTACGTTCGCTCTGTTCTTCCCCTCATCTCTCGTCTGCAGTTGTATCTGCTCAGGAAGGCCTCCCGTGACAGCTTGGCTTGAGAGAGACATGCGAAAAAAAGACGAAGCAAGACGAAGTCCGATGATGCTAACATGGGTCGGACAGTGTCTTTAAATGAGAGATGCGGGAGCAGGGCATTTCCGAGGCACGAGGAGCGCACGTGGGGGCGTTTCCCTCTTCCCTCACATACGCGCACCTACGAATACTTCTTTTTTCTAAACCCTCTCCAAACTTCACAAGTACATACGTATTCCTTTATTTCTCGTATATAGTATGTCACTTTTATGACCCCCGACCCGTTCGAATTATGCCCCGTTCCGTCGACCCGCCGCTGAAGAAGTGATGCGCGCCAATGAAGCGGTGCATTTGGTTACCCCACACCACAACCCAATTGCACATGGGATTATCTGGAAACATGCCCGGCGGTTGACTACCTACCTAATCAGCGCTCGAGCGCTCGTTCCTTGTCTATTTGACAACAGCCCCAGAAAGAACGCTACCGGCTCGTGCCTGGCGAGAAACCACGTGCCGAAAGGGAGGGGCGGCAATGACGTGTGGACACCCGCCCACCGGCTTCCAACGGTTGCAATTTGGCCTGATTCAAGCGCTCTGCATCGAGTCGTTCCTCGTGTTCCGTGGTACACCAAACGAGCTAGCTTCCTTTTTGGGAGCCATCTCCCCTGTTGATTACCTTTTATTGTTTGCCTCGTCGGTCCCCGCGTGACCATAGTTCGATTGGGCCAAGCACACACGCGCACGCATACTCTAATAACCATTCCTCACCTTGCGTCGTACACCTACCCGCCGGCGCGCAGTCTAAATAACCTTACCAACACGCTTGACGCAGTGGCCCCGGCCCTGTGGTCCCCGCCATGTGCGCATCTCGTACTAGGGTGGTGCCGGGGTCCTCTATCCCGGCAGTGCGAACCCTGGCTCGGCGTAATGATGAGTCTTTGCTGCTGCTGTACTTTGATACCCGCCTGCTCCCGCCATGAATCTCCCACTCAGCGAGATGAGAAGGTCCCTTGCGCCCTCGACGATGGTCAAGTACCATCATTGCGTTTCCCTGAATCGCGTTCAAGGGCTAAAAGCTCAGAAGGGGGGGGGGGACATGATAAAGTGTGCTCGACCTAGTCTCAAGCTGTCTCTTCCCCTCCTTCCCCCGTGCCTCTTTCCCCTTCGAGTGACCTCGCGATAGCCATCGAGGCGCACCCGCAACACAGTCTTCCATTCCTCTTGACCACCCATCATGGTATCGCTCAAGACCCTTCTCGGCGCCGCCGGCCTGGCCGCCACCGCGGTCGTCGCCAGCCCGATTTACCAATCCCTCGACCTGACCGGCGCCTCCTCCTCCCTGGCTCCTCGTGCCGATCCGAACCTGACGGGATACCTCGGCGCGTTCTTCCTCGGCGCGGACCCGTACGTCTACCTGTACCTCTCTGAAGGTAACAGCGCGACATCGTTCCGCGCCCTCAACGGCGGCTCGCCCGTGCTCCGCCCGACCAAGGGCACCGGCGGCGTGCGTGACCCGGCCATCGTCCAGGGCGGCGGCGCCGACAAGGACAAGAAGTGGTTTATTGTCGGAACCGACCTGGACATCGATAAGGCACGTTCTCGCGCACCCCCGCCCGCTGTGGCGTTCTTTCATGGCGCGTGGGACAGGGGAAGCCGTGAACCCCCGGACCTCCGTTACCAAAATGGGGCGATGTGTGCTGACACCATATCTTGCTAGACGACCTGGGATGCCGCTCAAAGGCAGGGATCTAGGGGCATCTTCGTCTGGGACAGCACGGATCTCGTCAACTGGGGCAACGAGAGGTTCGTCGTTGTCGAGGACGCTAGCGCCGGCATGGTCTGGGCCCCTGATGCCATCTGGGACCCGACAAAGGAACAGTACCTGGTCCACTGGGCGTCCAAGTTCGTAAGTCCTTCCCCCCTCCCTCTCCCTGCATGCCGTTTTCGCTTCGTTGGACAAGAAGACAACCGGGCTTCTGACCCCTCCGCGCCGCAGTATGCCGCCTCGGACCCCGACCACACCGGCGCGCCCGGGTCCACCGTGATCCGCTACGCCTACACCTCCGACTTCCGCACATTCTCGACCCCAGAGACATTCATTGACAAGTCGCCCACCGACGTCATCGACCTCAACATCCTGCCGACCTCCAGCGACGGCCGCTCTTTTGCGCGCTTCCTCAAGGACGAGACCCTCAAGACCGTCTTCGTCGAGGTCACCACCGACGGCCTGTTCGGCACGTGGACGCGCCCCGGCGGGAGCTCCGCCATCATCGCCAGCGGCGTCGAGGGCCCCGCCGCCTACTGGGACAACCAGGTCGCCGGCAAGGCCCACGTCCTGCTCGACTTTTACGGCGACGACGGGTACCGCCCGTACGAGACGGCCAACGTCGCCAGCAACGCCGGGTGGAGCCCCAGCCCGCGGGCCGGGTTCCCCAGCGGCCTGAGACACGGCAGCGTGCTGCCGATCAACCAGACGGTGTACAATGCCTTGGAAGCGCGCTGGGGCTGAATTGGGTTGAAAGGGGTGATATTATTCAAGTAATTAATTCGAAGATGGGGCTGAGCGTATACACACTCACTCACTCACACACACAAACACACACACACACACACACACATATATACTGTACTTGTGTGAGTATTGAGCTCGTTGCCGTGCAATGATTATTGATTTGCTTACATATGACAGTGTCAGTGCGGGGATAGTGGTATGAAGATGAAGAGTCCTAGTTGTCCAAGCTGTTTCCACAATCGATGCGTGAATTGCCAACTACAAAGAGTGAAAGTGGCACGGAAGAGGTAGAGTTGACCTCTACCGGAATTTACAATCTATACTTAGCTTGTGACAAGGAAGCACATACTAGAACATTACAACAATACTTGTTTCTTGAGAGTCATTGAGATTTTCTCATTCATTGATAACTGCTTTGGCATGTAACTAAATATTATGTGAAATGCACATTGCCAGGCCCAAAGTTTCTCACACTAGGGGCGTTGATATGCCATTAAAGCGTATGTCACTTATTGCCAGATAGAATCCATGGGCATGTTGTTGAAAAGGTTAGCATGTTTGATGAGAAAACGCTCTTTTGTTTAATATTCAATTTCCTAGTACCAAAAACCTTATCAACCAACTTTGTATACCAGATTTCATGATATAGGCTCAAGATTGCCCTTCGATGGGCCCTCAACGCACACTCCCTCTGCCGAGAACCGACTCCCATGGACTGGGCAGTCCCACGACTTCTCCACCGAGTTCCAGCAAACAACGCCCTTCATGTGCGGGCATAGAGCACTGACCTTTGTCACGTTGCCGTTTTCGTCCTTGTACACCGCAACGGGCTTCGACAGCTTCGGGTTCAGAACACCACCGCACCCGCGACCCAAGTCCTCAATGTCAGTGATGTCGGACTGCAGGAGCCGCTTGTACTGGCTATTTATCTGGAGGTCATGAGTGACCATCGTCGGCGCCGATGCAAGGATGGAAGCCAGCCGCTTCGGCGAGTACAGCTTTGCCCAGGTGTTGGGCTGCTCGTCAATCTCGTCGGCAATGAGCTTCCCAGCAATCACGCCGTGCGTGAGACCGTTGCCGGAGTCGCCGGTGACGATGAAGGTGCGCTTCTGGCCCTGGTTGAGTCCGATGAACGCCATGTAGTCTACGGGCTCGAAGATCTGCCCACTCCACTGGTAATCGACAGCGCCGGCCTGGGGGAACCGCTCCCGAGCCCAAGACTCGAGCTCTTCAAACCGACCGGTCGTCTGCTCCTGTCCAACCTTGTGGTCCATGCCTCCCACAATCATGAAGTCGTCCTTCTCGTCACATTCCGTCAGTTTCACATACTTGTACTCCTCTGCGGTGTCGTAAATAAGACAGTCCTCCACAGAGCCCTTGGGTATGCGGATGGCGATGCAGTACGTGCGGTAGAACTCCATCTCAGCGATGACACTGAGCTTCTGGAGCGGGACATTGGTCGCCTGGACGGCGTGATTACACGTGACGGTGTTGCCGTTCAGCGTCTTGACCTCAACGTGCTTGTTGCCCATACCCAGAATCTCGATGCCCGGCTCTTCGACAGAAACGACCCTCGTCTGCGTGTGACACTTGAAGTTGGGCTGCTGGAGGAGGAACTTCAGGACGCCGTTGACGTACTTTGTCGGGTGGAAGGTTGCTTGGCCGTGCCAGATGGCACCATCGCGCTGGTCGGGTCCAGACGACCAGCCCTTGATGGCCAGGCCCTCCCTAAACTCGGCCTCAATGCCGAGCTCTTTGGCATACTCGACCTCGTCACGGATGCTCTGCACGTCCTTGGGGTGCTTGGGATCGCTTCTGGGGAATTGCGAGACCGTGTAACCAGGCAGGTTTCTGTATCCGCAATCGATACCCAGCTTCTTCGCAACCTCGCCAACGTAGTTCAGAGCCCAAGTGTGACTCTCGGCAGCGACTTTGGCACCATCGTGCCCGTGCTTCTTCTTAATCTCGAGGTATCCGTCATCGAGAGAGTTGGCTAGATGGCCGCTCGTTCGGCCTGTTTCACCAGAGAGAAGCTCACGCGCCTCAAGGAGGACGACCTGCTTGCCGCGAGTGACCAGTTCGTAGGCGACTGAGACGCCGGCAATGCCCGATCCGACGATGCAGACATCAGCTTCTGTGTCTTTGGCCAGAGGCTTGGCCTCAGGCCTGGCACGGCTGGTATGCTTGTCGGTGTGCACCCAGACAGCATCGGTCGCGCCAGAGGTGACCTCGAACTGCTGCCTTGAAGGAGTGACGGCAGACGACATTTTCCTGCTCTTTATCCGGTGTTGAAATGTGTTGATATAAGAGGAATTGATTGATCTCGGTGCTCTGTATGACACCGAGGAGATGAAAGATTGGCGCGTGAGACAAGGGAGAAGACAACGCTGCAACTTAACCGACTGCTGCCGGAGAGAATTCATGCTGTCAAGCTTCGGGGAAATGGTGGCTATAGATCAGTTGTATAAACAAGAGCTCCTAAGCGCAAGTTACTGCTTGGAAGCTGTGTGTTATTAGTCTTGCGCCCTCGCTGATTGGCGTTTGTTGTTAGGAGGTGACACGTAGTGAAATCATCACGCTGTCATCACGCCCTGTTTCGTCATGATATTTCCCTGGTCCGCGCCTCTTCTAACCATGGGTCTTGTCCTTCATTTATGCCCAGGCAGTTCCCCTTCCCGTTTCCCTTCCTATGCAAGCCATACTCTGCCCCATTAACCACCAGTACTCTAGCCCGAAGCCGTCCATGTCTTGGCTCTGGAGAGATAGCTCCGAATCTGACGATCGACACTCCACAAAGCCTGGTCACCGGCATGCAACCCACCTTCACCCGGTTAGCCTTCCTTCCTTCGTGCTGCAAGCTGGAGAACGAAAACCATTCAATGCTGTTGCAATTGTGCGTTCTTGCATTGACGTCTATATTCATTGGCCAATCAAGCCAAGTTTTGCCGCTGAACCACTAGGTATCGTTAGAGGTGGTCCACGAAGTGATGACGCGACTATCAAAGGCAGGGGGAAAGCGTCTCGCATGATTGTATGGCCATGTCTTGTGTTGAACAACATATCTTGCACAGCCCGAAGTAATTCCAAGATTCCTACCGTATCCTCTCAGCAGATTCGCACACACAGACCACCCACTAGGCCTATTTCGAAAGGTGGTCAGCCAGCTTAGCCACCCACTCACCTATCTAACCCTAACCCTTGCCACCAAACTTGCTGCTGACGTTGACTAACCCTTGCATTTGTCACTTCTAGATCCCTGTTTCTGCCAGCCCGCTAGCCCCTATCCAGCAGCCCGTGGTCAGTGCGGTGTACGAATCTACTGAGAGGATATGGTAGTTCATTCAAGTGAATTATCGAACCGTTCAAAGCATCAATGCAAATAGGTTATCTCAGAGGTATGTTATTCCCCGCTAAGTGCCGCCTTCACAATGTCCATACAGAAATTCCTTTGGATGGAGCATCTAAGGTGCGAATCAAGCAATATGGGAATAGCGCAGAAAGAGGGTTTTTGACTGTGTACCTTCAATTTAATAACTAATAAACAGTATTTCGCATATTTCTATTCGCAAAGTAGCTTCTGACCAATAACTAGCTAGGCACGACTATCCCCTTTACTGCGTTAATTCTAACAAGAATAAATGCAGATAAACCTCATGTTGTTGAATTTTTCTCAAGCTCTCGGTTTCATATTACGATAACTGGTTATCGCCGACTCAATAGAACCCCGAAGTTCAAGCAATGGTGTCTGAGTTGTTGACTATATATGCTTAGGTAGTCACAACGGAGGTTGGGCGTCACTAAGGCGATATATCACATATTATTCACCGGCTGACTCGGGTGCACTAGTCCAACCACACTGAGAAAAATGGATTTATTGATTGGCTTGCTAGCTTCAATAAGTTCAAATGTACCGAGCAACAGTGTCCTATGCATCGGTCTTGAGTGGTTTCTGTGCCCAAACTGCTCTTTGGCGGTAGTAGCCATGAAGCTTGCCGGATCGGGTCTCACGGCGAAGCTGTGCGGCATAGACGAGAATCTCCTCGCGACTCCAAGTGTTCATTACGTTCGCCATGAACAAGACGTAGCCCTCAATGTCCGAGAGGAGGGCCAGCTGTGCCCATTCGCCAATCTCCTTCTTGACAGGGTCCTTGGGCCAGTTGCCAATCGGAGCCTGGATAATTGCTTGTTAGCAGACGGACCCGAGCCCAAAGCTGTGACACGTACTTTGTTGTTCCACTCGTTGATGTTTTCAAAGCCAGCCTCCTCCATCGCAAGCCGCTGCATCCCCTCGTCGAGGACTCGGAAAGATCGGCCCATCTTACGGCCGCCCTCCTCGAAGAACTTGCCCCACTGGCCTAGAGCGCTGGTCTCCGGCACGGTCCCGTCGTCGCTCAAGATCATAGGCGAAACCTCAAAGCTCTCGAGGTAGCCGCCGGGCTTAAGAGCCCTGTACGCTTCCTTGAACAAAGCCGGCCAGTCTGCAATGCTTCCGACGAGGAAACGAATGTGCACGTAATCAAAAGACTCGGGCTCAAACGTCCACTCACGAGTGCAGTCGTCGATTTCACTGTAGGATGTCAGCATCGGGATGGCAATGTCGCGGAAGCGAGCTACTGACAACTTCAAGTTGGGGGGTACCCAGCTAGGTTGGATAGGCGAGATGTCGGTGCCGATGACCTCACAGTCAGGGTTCTCGTCCGCGAAGTCGCTAGGTGCTTGTTAGCCCCTGCTAGTGCTTTCCCCTAAGCCCTATACTCACATAGCCCAGATACCTGCATTGGGGGTCCAAGTCAGCATCAAGATCGATCATCGAAGTAGCGTAAATGCCTCACCTGTTCCTGTCCCGACGTCGAGAACTTTTTTCAACTAACAAAAAATGTTAGCCATGCGAGATTAGGTGGTTGTCACGAGCTGCTGGCTGGTTGGTTGTTTACTTACCTTGCTCTTGTCAAGTGGTGCTAAGTAAAGTCTGTCGCCCATTGACAAGGTGAGAAGATGATGACTGGCCAGCATTAGTTTCGTAGCCCATCACACTGGATCCGTCGAGAGGTTCGCATTACTTGATATCCCAAGCCTCATTCTGCTTCTCGTCGTTGGTTCCCCTTTGCGATGCGTTAGCTTCACCCCAAAACGACGCAAACGCGCGGTCTTACCAGTACTGAGCATCGCCGACCTCCGCATGAAACGTTCTTCCGTGGATCTTCCGGTACTGCATGATAGTCGAGCCGATCGAGGCCGTAGAGCTGGCGGCATCATCGCCCAGCGCAGAGTCGGCATCGTCGTTGTTGGCAGCGTCCTAGCGGGTCGTCAATAATCGCGTTCTGCAGCGGCATTGCGGGCAGCCCAGGAAAGGCGTCGACTGACATGTGCCGCCTGCACCCAGTGTTCAGCGGGGAGAATTCCCGCGGCGTCCTCAGCCGAAGCAGTAGTCTGCTGTGGCTCGGTCGGCGCGGCTTCCGGCGCAGCTTCCGGCGCAGCTTCCGGTGCAGTTTCCGGTGCAGTCGCCGGCGCAGTCGCCGGCGCAGGTGCCGGCGCTGGTGCCGTTGCTTTATCTTCGGGCTGTTCGGAGGCCATGATGTTTGATCTTGCCTTGCGGTGCGCTGGTTCGTCTCAACTCGCTCAGGCTTGCAACACCACGGATTTAGATCTAGAGCCGCTGCGGAGCAAGAAAGGAGAAGAAGAGCTGGTGGAACAGATTGCAAAAGGTGGAAACTCCACCACGAGTCAAGAGTTAATACACTAGACCCTTAGCCCCTGTCGTCTGCTCAATAGAATTGGAGCCCCGGAGCAATCCCGTAGCGGAAATCGCGCGTGGCTGTAGACATGCGCGCCCCTTGTCGGCCGCAGGAATCTTCTTCAGCATTTCCCTCACCGTATCCCACCATCCCGGAAGAGGGGACTCCTTGGTTCTTCAGCGGCGCGTTGCGACGGACAATTAGGGAGGGAGGGGTATGCTGAGTGTGGTCAGCTTCCTGTCAGCAATCCGCCCTATTATGTGACTTTCAATATTGCCAAGGCATCATCCTCGGCTCTCATCACCAAAAGCGAATAGAGGGGGTCGCGAGTTATCAGCGGATCGGATCAGCCCACGAGCATTAACGGTATGTCATTGGTCAGTGCGACCTGTCATGCACGGTGAATTTGCAAGACATATGGACGTTTTGCGCGACTTTTAATTGCTCAGCAATCCATGCAAGAAATGCGAGCACCACCCAAACTTGAGAATTGAAGCCCCCTCTCAGCACTCTGGTTCAGGCGCATCTCAACACACTCACGGCCTTTGATCGGCTCGTACTTGTTTGGCCGGTCGGGCCTAAGCAGCTTGGGATGCAGTCCACTGTTTTCTCCCGATCGGCGTCTATGTAGTAAGCAATCGAGTATTGGTACCGAGCCCAGGTGAAGCGACTACCGCCTTCATCCGTATCCCACAGTGGCTCTCGCCCACGATGCATGGTCGATCGCAACGTGTCATTGCTCCACCGTTGCATGAAGTGGCCAATGTTCACCACAATCATCTCCGGGCTATGCGGCACTGGGACGACTCCCCCCTCCTCGTTTGGGTTCTCCACCTCAGAATCCCCGACCTTGTCCAGATTCATGGAGCCAAAGTCCCCGTGCGCTCCCGGTCTTTCGACTTTGCCGGCACGCAGCGACTTGTCTTCGACCGGCGGGTAGTGAAGAAGACGGATTTGGTTGTCCTTCTGCATGTGGTACTTCTGGAAGAAGTCCTTATGCAGGCCCGTGCCGAGAGCCATGGCACGGGGCAACAGGTTGACGCTGGCGCATATCAAGGGTAGGAAAGCCCAATCTTTACATGAAAAGCACGGTGGTTTTTTTCTTCTTTTTTCGGATTAATCTTTAGCCAGAAACTTATTAGCAACCCCTCACAATGTATCTCGCCACGATCTCGGGTTCGCCCGTCTCCGATAAATGTTCGGGATTGAAGGCGTACGTGGGTTGCTATGAGGGTTTGGGGGGGTGCATCGTGGTGGACCTGTCGGAGTGGAACATTATTGGTCTGAAGCGGAATTGAAGGCGCTTGGTCAGTGCAAGATAGATACGGATAGAGGCAGGCAAATTTGAATGCTAGGCACAATTGACCCCTAATGGCAGCCTTCATTGGAGAAAGTGGCATACGTAATAGACGACTGGCCCTCGCCGCCCTCGGGCGTCTCGTACAGCCATAGCCTCGTAACCTGGTCACGTAGTCGGTACTTGCAATACTCGTGGTTCTTCTCGTGGATGATGATGTTGGCGAGGTGGACGGACTTGATAGCCAGGAGCACGTCGGTTGTCACCCGATCGCTGGAGGTGGTCAACTTGGATTTGGACTTGGACTTCGTTGCTGGCGGCTACGAATTCTTGGATATCCGGTTTGTGTTGCATCTTCTGCATGTGGTGGGTTTCATGCTGGCTTGTTGAATGAAGCAGCCGGTAAGAGAGGACTGATGGGATGCTGCGGAGGTATGCACCCCTCCGCCCACTTCTTTTCGAGGCCGGAAAAAAGAGCGGATCGAGGGGTATCTGAGCAGGGCAAAACGAGGCACACGTCGTGCTTACATAATAAGTACAATCTTGTCGATAAACAAAACCTCACAGCCGCGATGAGTGACTACCTCTTTGGCTGCGCAGAAATGTCTAAACATCATCAATCTACCAAAGATACGAAAACACAACATCCACACGATTAGTCGAATAAGCATGAACGACGCCCTTCCATGAGCGGGAAAGAAGATGAGCTCCGGACAGACAACTGCACAACAGGGAATAGCGAACAGCAGGCCGGATAAACACCCGGGAGCGCTTTAATGTCGACCGAACCTTGACGAGCATAGCTGCTGAGCAGAAAATTAAGTCAAGTCAAGTCATCGTGCTGTCTCCACTCCCCCATCTACCTCCTTCTATCACAACATGCTGAAGATAATCGACCGAGTGTGTCCTAAACAGCTTCCTTGGATCTGCCACCCACTCCTCCACCTCGTCCCAGATCCGTCTCAAACCCGTGGCACAGCCATCGCTGCTAAACCGAGTGCGCCGTAAATATGGTCCAACGGATCTTCAAATTGATAGATACGCAGCCGGTGGAATGTGTGCAGGACTTTGGCATGCCGGATTTCACTATCTGTAGCGGTTCTCCAACGATGATTCTGCCAATCAGCCATTCGCTGGATGACGCTGTCGCCGCTGAAGGCCGGCAAAGAATTCTGTATCGGGTTCCACGAGCGATCGGTCGTGCCGGGTCCTTTTCTACAGTCTGATAGTCGCTCACTGAGGCATTCGTTGAGCTCATCATCACAGCGAAACATTAATATAAGAGCTGATAACTGGTTGATACGAGACCATGAGAACTGTTCATTACCGCATTGCAAAACAATGTTCTTGGGCTCGGGTAAGGCGGCTTCTTGAACCACCCATCCGCGCGTGAGCCATCGCTTTTTGAGGAAGAAGGCAAAGCAATCAGTATATGAGTTGCGCCATCGATCACACAACCTCTTCCCTAACGCCTTGATGACTTGCAAGTGGTCCAGCTCGGGCCCAGTCTTCTGCAACAGGGCGGTCGTTTGGCTTGAGCGAGCCGCCCTCCGTATTTCCGGGATAAAGTCTCTCAAAACCCAGGAGACGTTCTCTTTAGGGTTCGCCTTGCCAATCTAGACGATGACATTGCGGGCAGCTTCGTAGATTTGACCCGTCATTTGAACCTGGTGGGACTTTTCTCGGCCGCAGCTTTGGTCTACGCACATGGCATCGACCCACAGATTCAAGGTTTTGCCAGGAAGAAGTATACGGTATGAAGGGCTGGCTGCGGGAGGGTCGATTTGACGTTTTGTTGCCTCGAAAGAGCTCGACATTTCTTTCTTGATTTGATCAAGGTAGTCATATAGGGTCTCACCGACCCTGGATACTTGACCATCGCATTCGACATCGTGAAGACGCGTTTCGGACTCTGTAAGCTGACCGGAGCATTCGTCGAAATCTGGTGATCCCCACGTGTATGATAACGCCTAAAATGGTGGCGCGTCTTCTAACGGGAAGGTGTTAAGTCGCAGACAAAAGTCTATTTGAGTCATCTGGGGCAATCTGGAGAATTCGAATCGAGTTCAGAGTAATCATAAAGCGCCGTCACTTGACGAGCTTTTGCTTCCGATCCCATTGTCTCATATGGGGGTTTGGAGGCAGGTACCCTTGGTTTGTAGGAGTAAAGGAGGTGATGAATCTGCTTCTGCTTCTCCAAAGGTGGGGAAATACGGGAATGTGTGCTAATAATTGTCCGAAGAATTTGTCCTACTACCGTATCCTCTCATCAAATACGAAGCCCGCATAGGCCACAGGCTGCTGGAAAGGGGTGAGCGGGCTGGCAGAAACAGGGATCCAGATGTAGCAAATGCAGGGGAGTCATTTACGTCAGCAGCAAGTTAGGTGGCAAGGGTTAGGGTTACATAGGTGTGTGTGTGTGTATGTAGGTTGACCGCCTTCTATAGTGGACTAGTGCATAGCTTGTGCGGACTTCGTATTTGATGAGATGACACGGTACACCTGCTTATTCTTGTTGATACCACCGCCAGTTACGCCCCAGTTCTGCGAAAGATGACCGGATTTGTTCTATCTTCTCCAGCCAACTAGCCCCATGCATACCGTATCCTCACTTTGAATTCGGCTTTGGCTAATGCACGAGCTAACGGTAAGGGGGAAAGCGGCC